CACACTAAAGTCCATCTGCACCAATAAACCTGTACATTTATATTTTATTTTAACTGCATACTAGACGTGGGCAATTAGTGATGTACGGCGATGCTTTACCACCATCAACATCTGTAGTGACCTACTTTTGTCAACAGAACGCGATTGGTTCAATGAAAAGAATTATTATTATAAGAATTGTACCAGTGATTGTTTTATTGTGCTCGTTTGTTTAACTGTACTAATGACAGCCATTACTCCCTCTCTCCAGTTGACTTTGAACTTGTACGAATTCGGTTACGCTTAGCACTTACGCTTGTACTCCATTGGCACGATCTCGGTATTCTTTCGATACCACGAGATCGCCAACAAATACATCTCGACTACAGCCATCATCTGCCTTCTGATATTGACTTACAGGGATCTTATTGGTTAACTGGCACGTAGTCTTCTTGTTGTGGTGTTCATAGCCAATCGCGACTCGACCCACGCTACACATCAATGACTAGTGAAGTTATCTAGAACATTGTTTCAGGTCCTATATTGTTCGTTATGTTACCAAGTACTCCACATAACATCACAAACTATATCTGAAAGCTGAACTCAAAATAGTACCCTGTTTTGTCCCTGGATTTCTAAACGTGAATATATCACAGTTCCTGATCAGACGTGATAATGTATTAATCTGGAGTTAAATATGACAGTTACTATCTAAATGCAGCAAATATGGAATTATATATTTTAGAAACAATAGATTGTCAGAGTGTGACTTTCTACTTTGGCTACACAGCCAGATGTACACAACGCTTTTCAGAACCTTTATGTAGCCGTTGATTAGCTTAATAGGATGCAGTCTATTATTTACAATTGTGACACACGGTCGTGGCTACAGATTCAGGAAGAACTCGTAGTCATGATGTGGTCACAATTCAGGGATCCTAGTCTAAATGATTTATGCGACATATGTTTAATACAGCTCCATGGTTTCAATATTAAACATAACAATCGATCAAGTAATGAGAAGAAATTAGAGGTGGTTTAGTTACATTTACATATGTGAACTGGTGTCCAACTGACTTCAAGATGCCATACAAAACACCTGAACGAGTACAATTATGTTTAAGTTATTAATGTTTACGTTACTCCGGACCACACATAACGTGCACTATCTTTTTTCATTGATGAATTCAATGGATTCTCTGTTATTGCCTTCGATGGTTAATCTTCAATTAATTTTGATTCACGAACTTGTAGCAGATTTTTCCACATGTTTCAATGCGCATTTAGAGCTAGTTTTCAATAACGATGTAAGATTACATGTAACTCTTAAACGTGCCTTGTTTAGTACTGGTAATTATATTATTCGTGTTCTAAAGTATAGGACAAACTTGGAAACAGTACTTTCTTATAACAAACAAAATAGTTAAGTGCAGGAGTTACTCAGAAAATGTACAGAATATGGAAGACCAGTTTCGTATGATATGCTGGAATTTATCTACAAATGACTTATTGAAAACGTTGTTGATGGTGTCACTTGTATGGCAAACCCTGCTTTGATGTTCATTTTCTTACCGTAACTGCTTTCACATGTTTTGATACATCTTAAACCTCACAATTATAATGAATACGAAGGAAAAATAAAGAACGTAAGAAAAGAAAACTCCGTTGAAGTCCAAGAGCCAAATGGTTTGATAAACCAAGGGATGAGACGCCTGAACTCACTGTTTACTCAAAAACTCCTGTCTAGTGAAAACTTCAAGTATTTGGAAACCATTTAAAGAGCTTACAGGTGGAAGATGCATTAGTTACAAAGCGATGAAAGAATCATTTCTACACCCACTTCAATCGGGATTAGAGGGGCGAATTAGTCCACTCAGTCTGTTTACAGTTGCAAAAGAAATACCCTATATACTGCTGTCATCCTTAATCACAATATACTGTTCAGATAAAAATATATGTTTGATGCGCGTTTCTACATTATGCTCTTGCCTTTGACTCCGCTCTAAGACAACTACTTCTTAACAAGTTTGTCAGCATCAAAACCGGCAGCTGGCTAAACATTTGGTTAGTTTCCTACCTCTCTGGAAAAGAACATTACACTGCTTTGAAGGGAAAATTTAAAAGTCTCTAATAACTCATGAAGGTGCATCACTGTTCTTTCTCTTCTATCCCATTTTTCTATGTGAATAGCCACCTTTCACAGAAAATACTTTCGTTATTTATCAGTGTGATTTCATTGTGTGTGCTCTAATATCCACCTCTTCAAATCCTCTTGAAATGAATGAGTTCTTGTCTCTCATTTAAGGACGATCTGTTGTTAATGATCCCATACTTAATCTCTCTAAATATCACACTATTAACTTCATCACAAGATACGAACAACACTTCAACACCCTGTTAGCATCCCATTTGAGATTTTGTTGTAAGAAGTTTCTAAAGTCATTTATCACGGTGTGAATTTTTCATCTGGTCTCTCCCGGACTTCTCAGGTTATATTGACATCAAAGAAAGATTTCCTTTGTAACTACTGCATGGAAACTTAAAGTGTTTTTGGCATTATCTGATGTTTTTACTACTTGTTAAGTCTTGTATTTTAACAATTGTTCTTCACTGTTCTCAGTTATTGTTTCCCGGGCTTCATTATATTTCAGAGGTAGTTTAAAGCAGTTAGCAGGGTTTAGGGTGAATCTTTTGAGGTCGTTATTAATATGAATGTGGACAGACATCTAAATTCTTGCAAACTCCTGTCAAGTATAGTTGTATAAGATGCTAGCCATCCTATTTATTCGTACGCCTCTAACTGTATATCTTCTATAAAAACGAGGTGCCAATACATAAGAATTCATGCACGTAATCAAAGATTTAGAAGCTCTGCAACACATTATCTTGGAAATGTGCCATGCGAAAAACAGGTTGTTAGGGCTGACCTATTTAGAACTTGTATTGTTAAACATTTTTCCAATCAAAAGTTATGCGAATCCTAATATTGTTTTTTAAAAGTCCATTTAACTGTAGATAGTTTAGTTACTTCATTTAGGCAGTATGTTTGCAGTTGCCAGATCTTTGTCTTTTCCCTTTATAAACAGACATGTAATAAACATGTAGCATTTAATGAAACCGTCGACAATAGCAATATAAACCACTAACTGTAAAACACTGGAACTTATTACGTTGAAAGAGTTTCATAGTAAAGGTTTCTTTTGAACATTCTCCTATTATTTGTATGCGATTGTAATACTACCACTGACTATTGATATGTTTTACCAATATGTTTTTAAAAACTTGCGGTTTAAGGAAGCAAATCACGTGTGCATCTACCCTTCGTGTTCATCCGAATTCTGAGCTACCGAACTACTCATAACTAGTAGGGTATGGCAAATTGAACCGATGTACCCACGTGCCAGGTTCCACGTTGATCTTGATTGACTGACTGGTTGACTGATCAGAGAGGATCCTCCTTTATTCCGAAATTTAAAATCGAACTCTTAACCTTCTGCGGTGGTTAATTGTTTCAATTCTTTGCAAAGGATCTCATCGAAACACTCATAATAAAAACACAAACTTTAGAGCACTGTGATTGGACAGGATGATGTAGGTGGTTTAAACTCCTGTCTATTATACTAAAGATTGATAACCACTTGAATAATCTTTCCTGATGTCATTGTATAATTCACGACTAAATGAAATCATAGTAAGAAGAATTCTTCCTAAGGTGCGTTAAACTGTGACGTAGTACTGATTGCTGAGTGAATATCTTCAGTTAGCACCGAGGACAATTAAATCAAGATTGTCAGAATCAACTTCAAATGCTTGAAGCCAATTAATTTAGGGAAAATATTTACTGCTGCAAAACTATTGAACCCACTCCTTTGGGTGTATACAGTACTTATGTTCGCACCTAGTTTGATAAAGATTTAAAACTTTCTTTTGATGTACAGATAGAAAAAGAAAAGAAATTCGAAGGTTTATAATAGCTCACCATAAGAATTTCACATCTTGTTCCCACTGGATACATTGTCTTTTGTACAAAAGCGCACACTACTGCTTGTGCGTTACTCATGTCTGAAGGAATAATCACCGGTAGTGTGCATAGTATTTGCTCTCTGATAGATGAATATACTGCTTTCCGCGATGTCAAGAATTTAGAAAGACAATTCACTTTGTTATACCAGTGCATACAAGACAACGACCTACCTTATGTGGTCCAGTGGATGTGTAACTGGCTAGGGAAACTTTGTTTGTTAGGTGATAGTAGTTTACTTCTCGTATTTGAAAAAAGCCTACTCGAAATATCCGCTTCATTTGACTATGATCAATGCGTTCTTCTTCTTCAGGGTTGCCTTAGTACCTTTAGCAACGTGGGATATTTTACTCGAATTCTTAAAGCTGTATCTGTTTGTGCTGCTAAAGTCGAATTAAAATACTTTGGCCGAATCAAGGAAGTTTTTAATTCATGTGAGGATTCAGTAAGAAAATTTGCTGGCAATGATTTGCTCTGTGCACTTTATGCATCTGCTGACTTATTTAGAAATTTAATTTCGCCAACTTCAGTTAGGCTACTAAATCCTGCTGATAAGTGTTTTTTACGGTGTCATACTTTGTACATGATTTCTATGTTACTGTACATTGATTGTGAAGACAAAGAGGAACTCCTTGTGCTTTTTGTGAGGAATCTTTCGACTGTATGTGAAGGATTGTACACGTTTTATTTATCATGTCATAGATTACTTCTCACATCGCCAGATACAGTTCTGTACGGAAAAACAGCTGTTTCTGTTATGGTACCAAGTTGGATGCAGTTACTCCACTACTTCTTTACTAGTCATACATATGACCTGCACAAGTTTTGGCCATTGGTTTTTACTCATGAGTACTGGATCGATTTAATCTGTCCTTTTGTATATTTCTTGCTGGGTGGATCCGGGCGTAATTCGCGTCTTAAAACTTGTGAAGTTGGTCTTATGGACTCTAGCGAACAAAAATTTCATCCTGACAGATATTTCAGGTTAAGACAATTTGCCATGCATTTTATTGAAAGCCTTTTTAAAAGATACCATTGTTCTCTTCAACTTGCTTGGTGGAATCCTGACCGGTTTAAGTTGTTAGAGTATCTAGAAGTTGTCGCTACCGAACCAGTATCCGACGAAACTCTTCCAAATCATATTACCCAAGCAATCGGTTGTTTTGAGCAAATGGTCTCATCGTCAACCTACCTCGCTCGATTCCACATCCATGCTAAATTTCTGGAACCCACTCAAGATAGTGTACATCATGGTTGGCGTGGCCACGTGATCACTCTATTCAAAAATCATTTACACAGCCTTGTGCAAAATAGTGGTGATGCTAAAGCTCAGTCTGAATTAACTGACCCAGAAAATAGTGCTAATTCATGTTACTCAGAAGACGTCAAGCGTATATTTAAATACATATTCAAGTATCCATTACCATTCAGTTCACAGGAAGATTTAATTGATGAAAGCAGCTGGTTATTATCCGCCTTGAACTTAGCTATGTATGTGTTTATGAAGTTCAAATCATACCCTTCACCACTAATATCCTACATTGTGAAGCTTATGACTAATAATTCTGATAGGAAAATAAGTTACTTTAGCGAATTTCTGTGTAATTTAAAGTCATGTTTAGATCAACATATTGTTCAGTATCAAGCACGTATTTCTGCACTCCAAACGACCTTGCGCAATACAGGTGATACTACAGAAACAAACCGTTTAACATCAGAACTTGGCGTTCAAGAGAGTGTCATGCTTCGTTTGCGTCTTTTAGAAATGACTTTCCATCAAACTCAGACGTTATATCTACAATCCAAATCTACCGGTTACATGTAAATGGGGGACTTGCTTGTTTTTGTATTACTCGTTTTGTAAATAAAACTTTATTTCCATACTCCTTGTTATAATCTTGAACGTTTTATTGGTTTGTAGCTCCACACCTTAATTTTAGGTAGTCATTTTTGTTCTTTGAACCAAAGAAACTATGATTGGGCGTTTTGTTATTTCTGGAGGACGACAACTGAAGTAAGTTATCTTCATATGCTTCAATTTCTTTTACACGCGTGTGCTTAGAATTTTAGTTTTTATCCGTTATATAATGTTTCAATTAGCTCTTTGTCTCAGTGTCTATCAACCACAAAGTAAGCAGTCTGTTGCATTATTAATATGATAACCGATGAGGTTATAGGCCGTTAAGTGTTTGGTTAAATTTCAGTCAGTAGGATTTTCAATGTGCTAGTCGGTCAAAAACGTTGCAGAAACTTGTGACAAGCCTCACGCTAACTTAGCAAGAGAAAAAATTGGTAAAATTAAGAACTAAGGACAAACATACATCTGTCCAGATAAACTTCTCAAGATTTATTAAGATTTGATGGTTTTACATCGAGGTTCCCGATAGCTAATCCTGCATTTATGAAATCATAGCAGAATGCTTTATGTTAAAATTTTTCTTGTCCCATTCGGTGTCCATATAATTCTTTAATATCTCCATGATAGCTTCACCAATAAGTCAAACTTTAAGAACTCAGTTGCTGTTTTGTTATATAAACAACTGTGCTTGCATAAATCTATGGTTCTATTTCAAGAATATGCTGTATACAGTGCAAAAATACACTGATCCTCCACTGGAGGATTGTAGTGATATAATCTCTCTGTACCAACTATTTAGTTAATGTTGATGATGTTTTGGCTATACCTCTGTTTGTATTCAAGGTTGACTCTCACAATAAGGTCTATCCACAGCAAACGGTCGCCGTAGTGTAATCACTATGCCGAGGTGCCAGAAATAGTATCTGAGTATTCTGTGGCTTGATTTATTTTAAGTGTCTGAGTGATAGCGTCTCGTGCAATGATTAATTCACCTGTGAGTCTGACTTTTTATTTGGAAGGCTTCCTATCATACCGGTTTCCTATTTCATTCAAGCTAGTCATAGGCTGAAACTAGGAAAAGTAACAATGTGCACTCGAACTTTCCAAGGTATCGTAGTGTCATTTGGTGGTACACTAAAAAGGCTATAAGATGATAATTTGTTGTAGAATGGCTAGATATCCAAAGAATGGTTCTTACAATTTAAAGTAAATTATCGTTCTTCATAAATGTGTTTCAGTTCCGGAAACATAGCTCATATGTATGGGATGCGATTCTAAAGCTTTGACGAAGATTGAGCTAGTGATGAAGGATTAATATTAGAATAAGGAGAGGACTTGTGAGGTAAGGGAAATATCCGTTGTTAAATTTGACTGACATCATAGGTGCTTGGACTATAGAGTAGAATAGAGTACTAAGTAGCTAACCTAAAAGCATGGCTCATATATTTTGGGACTACCGAGTAAGCAATGCTTGGAGTAACAGTATAGCACTTGGTAAAGATAGAAAGTTAATTTGCGAGGTAGTAAATCTTCATCAAATGAAGTATTTGGAACATGTGTTATGTGTACTCAACTACCGCCTACCTCGATGAGCGGTAGTGCGTGGTGTAGTAGTAGCAGGTTGGAAGAAAGCTATTGACAGCCAAAGCAAAACATGTGACCAATATATGAAGTCAAAGATAATTGGACTAAGCCGTATTAGCATGTGTGGATTATCTGATTTAGATCAGAGTGACTATATATATATATATATATATATATATATATGCATAAACTTTTGTTTCATAAGCCTTTATTTTTGATTGAAATCTGTTTTAATTGTTTAGGTTATATTCATCTGTCTTGTCTGCAAACAGTAGCTCTAAATACAGAATGATCACTGTAGTATCACCCACTATCCATGTTCCTTTGCAAAGGTTGTGTCAGTTATGTAAGTTGCTTAAAGTTACACTCTGCTTAATGTTTAGAAAATGCTTTAATTAATAAGTTTTTAAAGTTGATAATTCTTTTTCAGATCTCAAATTGTTAATCAGCCAATCCTTATTATGTGTTTGAACGATCGCAAAAATTCAAACAAACAGTTTAACAGAAATTCCGCACCAATTATATAGGATATATTATTTTTCAAATTTAAATAATTGCAACTATTTTTTATGAGGGTTTCTTCAGGGGAATAATGAAAATCCTCAAAGAAACTAATTCAACAACTGTTTTACTTTTTTAATTATAGCTTATGTCTTTGAATTCATACCTAAATTCCAATTAATACAAACATGTTTAGTTCATAGTTTCTGATGGCTTTGACGCTGCAATACAGTTACATTTAATAAAAAATTAGATAATTTTTTTAATCTTTAAGACCTAATTTCTAAGAATAAGTAGTTTATATCCTAAGCATTATGAGTTTGAAACCCACTTTTTCGATCCTAACAACTAACAGCACTAGTCAAATAAATTTGACCGACATACTGCTAATGATGTTCATCACTTCTGATCTCCAAACTTTAGTTCAACATACCATGAAGAACATATAAATGAGTAAAAAGAGCAGTTATAAAAAGCTAACAACAAGGTAGCATCCAAAATAGGCAAGTATATTGAAAGTATGAAATAATATTGATGTATGTCAGGTTTAAAGGGAAATGAGGGGAATTATATCCATACTACCCAGAGTGCTCATTCATTGTCGTTGTTTGTTTTACAGAACCAAATAAAAAAATCAACACTTGAAGTCGTTAAATTCATATACCAAAACTCCTTTCTTCATTCAACTACCCCGGCTCCCAACTCGCGCTGATATTTCTCGAGCTATCAATTGACCAGGGCTGATATATATCCTAAGATAAGTAGAAGTGATCTTCCTCTCTAATAATTCTCTCTTTTCATAGGGATAAGTTTCGATATAAGCTATTCCCGATACAATAATTAACACATACTTAATTTTCCTTTGTTTCCACTTATTAGCTTACTAAATAACTGTGAAAGTATATCTGTGGCGATATTAAAAAAGGAAATTGTTCGAAATTGACGAATTCTGTTTAATGTAGCATATATATGATATTTCTTTGTAGTTTGACCCAATGAAGAGGATTCGCTAGGATAATCCGCTTTAATTAATCTTTAAGGGACCTACAAAGGCATAAGATCCCACGATATAAAGTTGAGTATTGCCTCCAGGTCATTATATATAGTTTAAGGTGTGTTTCGGCAAGTATATTTATCTTACAACATATGACAGTCGCTTAGTTTGTACCTGGTAACTTCTACGACCTAATCTGAAGCATTCCCCTTTTTTTCATTTCGTTGTTCCTAGGCTCTAGCTAAACGTCAGATGATTATGATGGCTAATTTCATTGTATTAGTGCTAGAGGAGTTTCACCCTTATATATCGGTGCTACCAGGAATGAAATCCTGTCGGGTAAAATAACGTTCGACTTCTTGACTGTAGCTGTTGCTTTGAAAAGTTAACGGTTTATTGATTTACGCCAGTCTACGTAACGCATAGCCATCAGAGTTATAAAGAGTTGAAGGTCGGATATCAGTCTCAATAAGTATAGCCAAAATGCAAGTTCACGAGCCGAACAAATTTGTGAATTAGTAGTGCATAATGAATTGATTATTTATCTAGAAGATTCAGCCTTGAATATTTTGTAACCTTACAAACACTTATTCTCGTTTTCTGTCTGTTAGGTTTATTTTAATATTTTCATATCTGTCTTATTCTTTGTTGTAATTAGCAACTTGTTGGTATGACACATTTTTTCAAAGTTCCGTATTATTTCCTTTTTATGTATGGACAAGAGTGCTATTCATTTATCCACAAGATTCTATTTATTAGGACCGCTCAATAGTGTTGTGTCCTTATAGCCTGCTAATATATCACGTGGTAATATCGCTAATTAGAAACGTTGACTTATATGACCAGACCAATGACGCACAAACCAGTACGAACAACTTAAAGTCAACTCTGAGTCCTCACTGGATCTCACCTAATCCTGCCCGTTTGATTCAAGAACAAAATCTCAGCCTCCACTGTATGAATCATGTATTTCAGAAATACGCAGTTTATATACAAGCAAATCAGATCAGATCATACCATAAGATGGAAAATAACAATTATACAAGGTCAGACCAAAAGTGGTTGAGTGTAAGATACTGTTCGGAATAACGTAACAATAGTAAATCGTATACTAGTGGTCAGTATGTCAAATGGAAGCTTAAAATAAAAAATATGAATATACATATAACATAGTTACTTTATATATAGGTCCTAGCACTTACCACTTGTTCTTCGTCTGGATATAACAAATAGGTTTCATTTGAATATTTTTTTTCTTACATTTCTAGCTTCTATCATATTCAGTGATCATAACAAACTTCACGGTACTGAAACCCATCAACTCGTACTAGATTCAAATTTGAAGACACGTGTTTTGGAATCCACATTGGCCTATGTCCCCAAATATGGTTGGTCACGAGAAGCGGTTGAGGCTTGTTGTCAAGCCGAAGGACTACCTTTAGGATTACATGCCTATGTTGCACCTCAAGGTGGTATTGACTTAGTTTTACATTTCTATGCCACACGTAATCAACAGCTGGCTGAAGTCATGCAACAATGGAGGACAACTAATGATAGAACAAATAAGAATATTGATATTAAAGAATCAGAGTATGCAATTTTTGTATGTTCGCTTTTATTTGAAGTTCATATGTTCTGATGTGGTTAAGGATTCTGTTAATTTGTTTTCCGATTAAATAGTGAATTTCTCTAAACGTAAGGTTATTGTTAAATAGCTCTAATAGTTCTTCTTTTCTAATGTTCGGATCGACAATGATGAAAGTATAATCTATTCCACTGTGATCACTGAATTATAAACTAACTACCTTGATTGGTTTAATAATTTCGTGCATGCACATAAATATTACTGTATATTAGAGTAAAGCCTGATGAGGATCTAGTTTTAAAA